TCAGCTGCAAAAAATAAACAAAATAAAATCTGGCATGACATAACCCAAACAAGAGAGCAATAATCTCATCCTAGGGTTTTATAAGAGAAGTACAGCAGCTAATCTGCTAAAACGTGTCCCTGGTGTTTGCTAAATAGCGTGTGTAGATATAATCAATTGCTCATTAGAGATGCCACACACGACACAGATACAAACAATCATGCCATTACTGATTTACCCTTGACCCTGTGCTGCTATCACATAAGGAATGAGGTACAAGACTACAAGAGCTAGTGAGTAATTTTCCCTGTTCCCCATGGGAAAACTTCTTCACCACTTTGCAATTATTATTCAGGAAGGCACAAAACTGCTACATCTCAAAATTAGACTACATGTGCCTTTGGAGGTGTCAACACTACTCTGTGAGGTCTCTCAAAGTAACCTGTCAGTACTGGGAAAGGCTCTCCCATGAGCTCACTGCTGTCAGAAAATTGAGAGAAGCCTCTCTGCTCTACAATGTGCAACTCCTGCAGCTGCTGCAAGTCATCCCATATCTGCGGGGCAACAAGTGTCTGTAAATCAGGTGCTATTGAAGAGACTCCCTACACTCCTCACCTGCTCTGTGGGGCTTTTCATCACATCATCACATCACACCACATCACAGGTGTGATATGAATAATTTCTATTGGATGAAGCTGTACCAGAAAATACACCATAGGAGAACAGTGTATTTCAACTGCTAATCAGCATCAAGTCCACTGGAGTAAGTCTGATATAAACCTCTCCACCATGCAGTGCATGTGGTCACCGGGTTCTCTGCACCTGTTGCTTCTCTTTCAGACCCTCTCCTGCTGAGCAGCGCTGCTCAGCTAATGCAGGCACAGCCCATGGGATTCCCACCTGGCTCTGCTGTATGCTTCTCTGACAGACACACTGATTCACATTGGGGATAGGGCAGCAACAGCGACGTTCAGCACGTCCTGCTGATGTCTATTCACCCTGACAGCTAAAGTGGAGCCAATAATGATACTTCCAGCAGGCACAGATTATCTTAGGTGCTGTGTACAAACAGCATGCCCTAGTTCTTTGCAAATGACCCTTGGATTCCCCCCTGCTCCTTCATGCAGACAGAAACTTGTCCCATTAGGTCACAGCCGTGAGGAGGTGACGGGGGTGCATGTAAATGTACTGTGCAGAGTCTACCCCCAAGCCGCAGTCCTTCCAGATGTCCCCACTCCTGCTGCGAGAGCGGGGACGGGTACCCTATTCTTCGGCGAATTCACTGGGTCTTTCACCACGAGTTTTTTGGGTTTTTTTTTCTATTTTCAACTCGGTTGTGAGAGAGCACGGCGTACTTGTCAACGGCGTTTTTAGTATTCTTAGCAAAGGACAAAAGCTTCGGCTCCCTGGGCTGAAATGCCAGGTGTCTCACAACGAGGGTACGCTTACAAACTGCCGGCTCTGCACTTCTGACACCCGTCGGGTCAGTGGGGGAACAGATCTCCTGAAACCCGCGCAGTTTTAACTCGGGCGGTCCGCACAGCACAGCATCTCCGCGTCTGCGCCCGGGCGGTCCCGGCGCCCTCTGGCGCTGCCGGCGCGGCGGGACAGCCGGGCAAGCTCCGCTCCTGCCCGGGGGGAGCCCCTCGGCCGCCGTCCGGCTGGGACACGGCCCCGAGGGAGCGGGGGCTCGGGGCTCCCCGCGGGATGGAGGCTGCAGCACCCTCCCCGCGGGGAGGGGCCGCCGCGCTGAGGGCCTGCTGTGTGCGTCACCAGCGCTCTCTGGAGAGGAAAGAGACCTACTTACAGGTTTATTATTTTTTTTTTTTTTCCCCGAGACCCAGATTTCCTAAATCCCCATCCAGTTTAAAAATAGCTCTTCGAGGGATTTCAGCGCCCCCGCCCTTGCGCGGTCTGCGCTGGCGAGCATCCCTCGCACGGGAGCACTGGGGTCAGGAACGGCGGCGGATGGTGAAATTGGGCTGCTGGGGGAAAGGGCTACTAAAGCACAGCGAACCGAACCCTGCCGGTGCACTCCCGTACTGGTCGCAGATACGGCAGGGCCGGCGTTAAAAAGCAGACTTTGAATTTAATCTGAGATGAAATTCCCGCGCTGCACCATGTGGCTTTCAATGTCTGGAAATGGCTCCTTGATCTTAGAGAAGCTGCGTGCAGAGTTTTTACTGAGATGAATAGATCATGCTCAGTTTCTTGTCAATAGACATGTCTCTGCTCATTCCATAGGTTAACCAGTTTATGATCAAAATCTTAGAGAGTTATATAAGGAAAATCCCAAGAACCCACGGAGGGTTACATAGCTGAAAATGCATACAACATTCTATCACTACGACTAGAATGCAAGACACCTGAGACTACTAAACCCCCAATATTCTGCAGGTCTGCATTAGCACCGAAGGCAATGTGGGAGAAAGCAATTTTGCTTAAAGAGCACCATCTTAAACTAAAAATGGATTGAGCAAAATCTCAAATACAGTCTTCCAGGTGCTTTGTGAAGTTACATCAGTATAATCTAGAAGGGCTGTGACAGTTCACCCTGGTTGAAGACTTGGCCAAAAAGGTTGGTTCTTTCACTCATCATGGGGCAGAAAGAATTCTTAATGCTAAGAAGTGAATTCATGTGATGGTTACATCACATGTAAAACAAATCAACCAACCAAAAACTCCAAAATCCAAACAAAGAAAATACACACCCCCAGCAACCCCACCAAACCCTGAAGTTGAAAAGACTCCCATAGAATTCAGCAAGAATTCATCTGATGGCTAAAGATAATTTCAATATGTAGCTATTTAAATTTAATATTCAAACTTCTCTTTAAAGAGAAACTCAGGACTCTTCCAATTCTTTTTAGTGAATATAGTGTCACTAGAAGTAAACTTTAAAATCAATATGGAGTCCACAGCCAAGTTCAGCCTTCCGAGTTTTCTTCCATTTACTCCGTCAGTATTATTTGATGTAATAGAAATAAAGATATTATTACCTCATGACATTTAGGCTGGGGGGCAGGGGGCAGAGGGAGGGAGGGAAGAGCAGCAGGAAAAATATGTGGTGTCTGACTGAAGGAATTTTTTGTTGTGGGGGAGGGTGACTGGACAGAAATTTTGACCCTAGTCCTGCAACTGGATCCATCAAGCCTGACCTCTGTGCTACTGCAGTGCTTGCTGGAGTCAGCAGAACTACGTGCTAAGTGCAGGGCTCTGTCCATGTGGAACTAACTGGGGATTTGGGACCATTCTGTTTCCTACTGTGGAGGGAGGATGAGTTCACCTCTGTGTAAATTCCAGAAAAGGAGTAAGACACTTTCATAAGAGAAACTTGCATTTTTAGATCCTCTCTTCTCTCACTTAATTCCACAGAGATCATGCTGAACACAGCATGTCTCTCCTTCTCCAACTACCTGCTAACACCAGGCCAACACTGCTGAAAAACAGTGTGTCCCATATTCCTCTAATGAGAAAAACCTCCCACAAAGTTTGCAGTCACTGTTCAGTAGCTGCTGCTGCAGTTGCTAATCCAGCTTTGAGTCTGTTTAAATGAGTCCCAAATACGACTTCTGTCACAGTTTTGTCCATCACTGCAAAACACAGTGGTTGTTTTGTGTGCCCCCAAATGCTTTTTTTCTTGGCAGCCTCTAAGACAGCACAGGGAGGTGTGTACCTGCAGGTCTGTACAGCTGGACAATGTTCTGAATGCACATCTCCATCCAGAACTATGTCTCCTGATTGCTACAGGAGCTGCAGAAACTCTGAGACTTCCAGCTGTCAGGTACATCATGTTGGTGTGCAGCTGTCTGTGCTCAAGTGCCAGGCTTCTCCAGCCCCCAGGAATGAGATCAATCACATGGATGAAATCTGGCAAGAGCTGAGACAGCTGCATTGACAAATAAGAGAAAGTTGACACATTCCATAATGGACAGCTGCTTTTAGCTGTGCCAGGCTAGGAGACTGACCCACAGGCACAGCGCACCACTTGGTTACTTGGGACATTGACCATTGCCCTCCAGGGTGTTTTGTGTGGTGCCCACTCCAGCAGGTGAGAGCTGAGATCAACTTTTGGTTTGAGCCCTCTGAGGGAGATAAGCAAACCTAATGGGATCATCATAGGGAAATACTGGCTTGTCCAGCTCTGTCACACTTCTAGGCACATTCAAAAGCAGAACCTGAAATACATGTAGAAAAACAAACAAAAAAAAAATTTAGAGACTCATAGCACAGTCATTGTCCTGGGGTTTAAAAAGCTCCTGAGCAAAGCTGTGTTGGATCCTCATTCTGGATTGCAAAATTTCAGAGCTAATACACTTCATCTTCTGTTAAATATAGTTGTAAATACATTTCACAGAATCACAGAATATTGTTAATTGGAAGGGACCTACAAGGATCAAGTTCAAATCTTAAGTGAATGGCCCATACACGGATCAAACCCACAGTCTTGGTGCTCAGCAACACCATTCTCTAGTCAAATCTGCTAATCTCAAATTGTTGTGGTTTCAATGTGTGGAAGCAAGCTGAACTTGAGCAAGAAAGTTTACCACAGCCCACAGTTGTCTAGATACTCTGGGGGCAACCTGCAGTCTGGGTTGTGTGCCAAAGACCCACATCCAGGTAAGAAGGGACCTCAGAGGTGTTTCACCACAGCCCTCCCACAGAGGGGGTGTGCAGCAGCTGTGATTGTCGAAGTCCTTAACAGTGGGAGGATCACACATCTCTGTTGAGGCTTCAGAAAGATGCCATTTCCTTTAGTGACATTAACCTCACAGTTATTAGGACTCCTGGTGGGAGATCATGCTTTGCCTCCCATCAGGCAGGGAAGGAAACTGAATTTGATGCATGCAGGATGTCTTAGAGATGTATGTCAAAGTGGGCAGAAGTCATAATTTGTATTCTCTGTTCTGAGATGCTGTGGTTCAAGCAGGATGCTGCAAAAAATGCCTACAGGACTGGGTTGTGCAACAGGACTGGGTTGTCCAGGTAAAGCAAGCTGAGGAAGTCTAATCTGTATACTGGACTTACTAAAGAGTAAGCTCTTCTAAAGAATCAGACAAAATTAAAACAAAAAATGCATTTTCAAGGATCAGACACTTGAGGTTTCCCAAGCAGTCAAAAATTAAAATACATCAAGAAAAAAATCAAGTATTTTCTAAAGATCCTGAATGTCCAGGAGCAACCATGATCTTCCACAAACATCTTGTGCATTCACAGTTCCCACTATTTTCAGCAGGTCTGAAAATCAAGCTTCTTATTGGAGAATCCTAATATGGATTTAGATCCTTGAGTTTAATAGCTTTGCTATGAGTAGTTTTGCTACTAAATAATTAATAGCTGTGCTATTAAGCTGCATTACAAAGGGCTAATGAATTTTGACAGAGAAAAAGGAAGGGATCAGTTAAATATCTTCAGTGATAATGAACTGTGTATAAATACCAAGATCTTCCTCACACCGTCTTATCACACAAGTGTTTAAAGAAAATATTTTTTTTGATTCTTGCTGGCATCTCTTAGGATTGTTGTCCCTTGTCCTCGATGATTTTATGAAGACAAAGGGTATATTTCCTCATAACGTGGAGGTGACAAGTTATTACAGGCAAAGTCTTCCAGCCGTCCTGATGGTTCATCAGAACTGTCTTCTGACCTGAAAAGAGGAAGAGGAGCAGATGCAAAAAGAATTTATCAAACACAGAGCGTGTAAGTAATTTCAGTGTTTCATTCTCCCAGCCTTATCTAGGAAAAGTACTCCCTGGCTTCTTGAGAAAATGCTATGAGATGAAGTTTCACTGAGACTCAGCTGTTTGCTGTGTTTTTTCATGAAGTTTAAAAGTGTCAGGAGGTGACCTTTTTCTTCACCTAGCCTGTGCCTGTCACCCATATTGCTGAGGACAATGGGTCACTCAGCAGTTTTTCAAAAAGACTTTGATAAATGAACTAACAGTGTTGTAGAACTTGTGTTGCAGAAAGGATATAATTATGAGTAATTCCCATAATTAGAATATTTTTCCTTAGAGGAAAGAACTATATAAAATTATTTTGTGTACAATTTGAGCAGCTCCATACTGCTGTGCAACATGAGCAATACTGTTTATGCCTCAAAACTAGGAAAAGAGGAAAAGCTGGAAGGCTGTTACAGTGAGAGAGCAGCATGTTGTGACCAGGTGTACTCAGGAGGGAGAGTATCTGGAAACAAGCTGATTCTTGCATTGTTGCAGAAATGCTGATGAGTGCTGACTTGTGCGTTGTGATTGTGATTGAGTGGAAGCCTCGGGCTCTACATGATGTCTTTTTCTGGTCTTAAAAAATTGAGAGCCAGACGTGGTTAAGGGATAAGGGTTTTTTACCTTGGTATTTCAATAAGGATCCTTATGGGTGCACCATTTCCCCAAGGTGGATGTGCCGCAGTGCACACCCACGACAGATCGCCTATACAATTTATGGACCTTACAAATTAATTAACACAGATGCCCCAGTGGAAGGCCTGGATGAATGGTGTGATATTCCCCTGAGGAATTCCCCCCTGGATGGGCCAAGCCTCTAGATTACAGGATATGTTCTAGATAGTGCAGGGTTTTCTGGTTTCCTACTATGAGGCCTTTAGGATGTTTGGTCTCCTGGCCTAACAGAACACTAGTTATGCTAAATTATCAGATTTAAGAAATTACAGGTATGCGTGCTAAGAATACTAAGGATACATAAAAGGTATAAAAGGTATAAAAGAAAAGCCAAAAAATAATCTTGGCATCATACCCATAATAACGTAAAGGTGGTAAGAAAAACATAAGAAAACCTCAAACAGAAGTACATATATCTTAAAAAGTAACAAAAGATTTAGTTGACTGAAAATTGAAGGACATTTATAAAAGAATTTAAATTATATAAAAACACTTTCTAGTTTCCTCACTCAAGAAGAATTCCTAACAAAGACAAAAAAAGTCTGAGAAGGGTAATACCCTGAACTAGCTGTAGTTTCTTATGAAACCACACATAGTACTTAAAATATTCAGAAGCCTGTGTCCAAACAGACTAAGGCATTTCAGAAGACTTACCTCTGATTCCTGGAATTCTCTGCAGGATAAGTAGTGTAGCTCTCATCTCCAGTAAAAGCCAGGTTATCCAGGGTGTAGGCAGGGCAGCAGTGAGGAGAACCCATGGTGAGAACTGGCGAGGGGCTGGGGGGACCAGCACTGCAGCAGCTGAGCACTGGGTGAAGGTAGCCAGGACTCACAGCAGCACCTTCCTGGGACGGGTAGGGTGGGGGAATGTACTGTACCACTGTGGCACCATGGAAAGTTATAGGCTGGTTAATCCCAGTGAAGACAAAGGACTGTCCGCTTGCAGTCTGGTCAAGTTCCGATGTATTTTCCTCTCCTTCTTTACAGGGCTTGCACGTAAGCATGTTAAATTTACAAACAGCAATCAGAATAAAAGTCACTCCAACAGACAGGAGAATAGGCCCTAGTAACTGAGTCCACTCCAGGTGAGTAATGCCATCATATTTTATCCATCCCATCACAGTGAAAGTGATCCCCACGAGTCCCAAAAACACACCTGAAAAGAGCAGAGTGGTGCCAGCTTTATCCCCATCTGACACCAGGGCATCAGATCTGTTTGGCTGACAAGGAGTGACAGAAAAGACATTCAAGGAGAAATCTTCTACATTGTTGTTGTTTTGCTCCATTACTGAGTATACCGTATCTTCTCTCTCAAGAGAAAGGGGCTTGTAAAGGACTCGGTAGAGCATTTAAAGTCGAAGGTTCAGGTTAGTTATACAAGAACTTTGTGTGTGTATGGTTAACAGAGTCTATGCTTTGAAAGAATAAACTTTGCTTGGAAGAACAAAGGTCTGGGAAGTGAAGCCTGAAGCCATCACTAAAGATTTCTTGAATTACCACCATCACTTCCGAAATGGATTCACCCCTGCATGACTGCCTGTCTTTTTGTGTTTCTTCTTTAATTTAGCACCCATGATACTGTTCTCATTCTGGATAGCAGAAAAAGCAAGCTGGAGGTATTGCAGCTTTTCCGTGGCCCTGCCTAGCTGATGGATCCAACATATGGACAGCATATGTTTAGTCAACAGCAGAGAGGAGATTCTTGCTCTCCACTTCCTGCTCCATTTTCTGCAGGGAAATTCCACATGCCATTGCAAGGAATACCTTTCCATGCTCTGAAGCTTGACATTTATAGTCGTGCCTGGACCTCTGTTGCAGCTCATTTTGCAGTTCATGGTTTAAAAAAAATATCAATGTAAGCTTTGATATTTTTCTGGGGCAACCACTAGGTGAGCAGGAGGATAAGTAGCAACAGGATGGTAAGAGCTAAAAAGACTGAGAGAGCTCTTGGCTGTGGGAGAAACGTTATTTCAAGACAGTCAAAGCTTTCCAGATGGTTGAAGACACCATAATTACGCTATAATTTCCCCTAAATTCTTGGGCATTTTTTGTTGTTGGTTTTAAGGTTTACAGAGAATAATACCCAAATTCCCTGAATAGCACATCACTGCAGGAATGAGAAAGCATCTCCTGTAATGCTAAACTTGACAGAGTGAGGAATCTTATCCTGTTCTCACAGGTACCTAAGATACTTCTTCATATCATATAATGAATTGTTCTGCTGAACTCATGTCTCATATATTAAACAGACCGATCATTGAATTTTGAAATTTTCTGTTTTCTAACAGCTTCAGACTAAAGTAATTGCTGCTGGAGGGTTCTGGTAGAGTGTCTTTGTATAATTCCCTCAGGAGGAAAGATCTCCAACTACTCTGTCTGTTCTGACTAGCATGGCAGGGTACACTACACACAGGACATTGATTACTGCTCAGGCAGTAGAACACATAATGCTATTTCCTGCTACTGGCAGCCCTGGGGAAGCAAGCTTATCCTGAGATTTATAAGACCAGCAATGGCTCTAGAACTAGAAAATTTACCTTTCAGACTGCTTCTTCAAAGTCAGTAAAAGTGCCTTTAGTCTACTGTGCATTCACATCACACTGTGTGACAACAGCTCTCTCCTGGAAAGGGCTATTCACCAGGTTTGGCACCTTCAGAACTGATGCTGAATGCAATTGCAGATGTCTTTCCTATTTTTTGGCGCATAGACCTTGAGGAATATTAGTGCTGGATTCCTTAAAAAAACAGCTGTGAAGCTTCCAAATTCAGCATTGTTAAGTCGCCCCTGTTACCCAGGGAGTCAAAAAATTTTCTGAGAAATACACTCAAGATCAGCCTTTCCCACCACACTAAGTCAGGTTAGGATTCTCTGCACCTCTTGAGCAGAGATCAGTCCCACACAATGCACTGGTTTTGTATGCTGACAACTAAACTAGAAAGTGCTCAAATACTAGATAAACTGTCCTTGCATTGGTAATTACAGCCAAAGTCTAAGTCACCTTTAACCTTACATTTGTTAAACTTCATGTAATGAACTGTTACTACTCTTTATAAGTCACGTTTTTCCATACCATGAATCATCCTTGCCACTGCTGAATCTTTCAGACTTTCCAACATCCTTTTAAAAGCAGCACTATATTATAACAGCTGTCTAGCTAATAGTTTATACAGATGTAGTATCACCTTGCTTCTTTCATTCATTCAAGAACTCTGCAACTGCTATTTGCAATCGGATCGTGCTGGAGCACTTCCTCAATCCCATAGAATGGTCCTTAGATCCTGTCTGGAATCGGAATTTTCCAAGTTGGGTGTTATGTAATCCCACAGCTCTCTCTTTGCCTCTGGTCTAGGACATGACTTCATGATTGTTGAACAAGTGCACAGTAGAGCTGGAGAATACAGGCTCCTTTTTTTCTTTCCAAAGCTACATGCCACTTGAACTTTTAAAACAGGATGGAAAACACTCTTCATTTGGTGTGCTAGGATCTACATTAAAATTACTCCTGGCCCTGTAAACTGTTCCCTCTCTGTAAGACAGTTTCCTCTATGTCTCCCTACATTTCTCCAATTTTTTACCCAGAGTGGTAATGCTGCAGTCAGGCAGCTGTCAAGGTCTTAAGACATGACTGGATCACACTGATTTTTTTAAGACCAGTGCATTTCTTTGCCAGTAAGTTGTGTTCTGGGGACTCATTTAAAAATGTCAATTTAATAAATACATCCCTTTTACCTGGTATGACTCCTAAGCAAAAGAGTTTTGTGAAACCAAGGAAAGATGGACAAAGTGAGGTTTTTCAGAATGAGTGCTGTTTTCAGATCTCAATAAAGTTTTGTTCCCATATGCTTCAGACTTACCCTTGAACACAAGCACTGCCACCGCTTTGCTTTCTGTTCCTCCACCTAATTTTCTATTACCAGTGCAGACTTCCCCTGCAGTGCTTGTTGCTGGAAGCAGGTGCTCTGCAACCCCCCTCAGCTCTCTAACCTGTTTGAAGAGTCATGCTAGTGAACACTGACAGGCCATTACTTAACCCTTTTTTTCTTTTCCTTATGTTACCTATTCTTACACAGTCGTTCACATTATCAGCCTGTTGTAGGAAGGTTTTATTTTCTTAAACGCCAGTTATACAAGCAGGGACTTAGAGAAAGAACATGCAAAAGAAATTGCACAACACATGGTATTGCACATTGATTAGCTTTAAAATGAATAAATGCAACTTACCACTCCATAATGTAGGGGGATTAAGAAGCCAGTGAGTTTAGTTAGTGGGACCTGTCCCTAGAGAAAGGTAACTGCACATGGCATCATTAATGGAAAACATGAATTACATGTGTAAGAGCAATGCATGAAGAACCACTGTGAGTGGGCTTTTCAGCCCTGCACTATTGCACTGCCACCCCTGAACAACTGCACTGCCAGCCTCAAAGCAGAAATAAATTGTGAGGAGCAGGTTCAGCCAGCTGCCCACAACTGCATTTACCAGCAAGGTGGCTTTATATGCTCTGGAGAATGTTGTCTTGTGAGCAGGCACACCAAAATTAAGGTTTGTCCATGCCTAATTGTTGAGATGCATGCGTGATGGAGGAGCACTGATCCTCCAGATGAAATCTGCCATGCTCACTGCAGAAATGTGGAGGTATTGGCACTACAAGTCATGACTCTGAAGTGATAGGATGGAAAAGGGATAAATTGATACAGCAACACAAACCATAAAGGGCAAAGAAGGGGTAGGTGCAATGCACCAAGTGCTGCTATCACAAAAACATAGCAGCATTGCAAAGATCTGTGCAAGAGTTAACTTCATTTTTTTTAGCTGCTGTTGATGCAGGAAGGAAGGCTTTTCCTAGAGAAAAGGCATTCATTTATATTTTTGTGAATCCCTCTCATATGCAAAGGATTGCAGTGTTGCAGTTAGAAGCGGAGCAAGGTCAGCAAAGGTAGCAAGGAAGAGAGAACTTCACTTAGAGAGGGCAAGTAACCCTTACCTCCCACTTTGCCTGTTTAAGTACGTGTGAATCAGTAACCAACTTGATTTGCTCCCTAGCATTTATATGTCAAACACTTAAGTTAACCTTAGGGCAGAAAGAGGGTTATAGCACCATTAGTGGGACAGTAAAGTATCTCACTTCCTCAATAAAAATGCTATTCTGTATTATTTTAAGCTACTTTTACAGTTTTACAAGGTGTTGCTTCCTTTCTAATACAGACATTTCACTCCTACTCCCCACATCAAAAATTCCTCCTTCTAATGCTGTTCATCCAGTGATAGCCTTCAGTGGAGAGGGCAGACCTGCTAGCCTCTTATATTTTCTGACCTTGCTGCAACAGATTTCAACAACACAGTAAGCAAATACTGTTGCACTGGCCATGTTAACTACTTCAGTGCTGAGTAGCTCATGGAGATGCACTCAGTGTTCAAGTACTGATTTTCTAAGACAAAAATAAAGGATGCTAATACAACTGTAAACTGATCTATTTCCTAAGCATCTTCTCAAAATTACACAGAGATAAATTCCATTTTCAATCCTTGTTTTCAGTGTTAACACCTATCCTTCCCAGGAAACTCAAATGCTGAATCTGAAGTCAGGTCAGCAGCTCTCTGAACCAGTTTCTGTGAAGACTGCTTTTTTAGAAATAAAGTGATCCACACTGAAGACTCTGTAGTAGATGATCAAAATACAATAACCTTGAAGGAAAACAAGATTATGTTTCTGTTACAGAGAATTCAGATGAATCAATGTATTCTGCTTGATTTGTCTGGTCTCTTGGGTCCATCTTGGAAACAACTGACTGAGCAAATTGAAGGCAGCAGAAAAGGCTGATACTTTTTCAGTTCACCACCAGATACAACTGCTTTCTTTTTTCAAGATGGTGAAGTGCTTCCAGAGTTGTTTAAACATGTTTTGATATTAAGCCTTTTCAGAAAATACAACAGCATAAAGATAACATGGGTTTTGTTGCTTGGGATCTTTCCAGTAAAATATGCTAGCTTCTGTTCATGTTATACAACAGAAGGATAAATTGAGAGATAAACAGGCTCCTTAGACATATGCAAAGCTTTGTATGGACAAATCATGCATGGTAGTGGGGCCCATTGTTTAAATAGTAGAAGCAAAAGCTTAAAAAAATAATCACAAAGGTGGCAAACTATAGCTTGTATTGCAGATTGCATATATGGAGAAACATCCTTGAAAGATTCACTGGGTAAAAAGCATATGAGAGAAAAAATGACAAAATGCCTACTGGCTTTTGTGGTTTCCCTTTTATCATACAGACATTTCCCATGGCTGAGTCATGCCAGTTTAATCAGCTCCTACACACTAAATCCCCCTCTGTGCCACGTTTGCTCATTACTCTGCGTGCATAAGCCCCTCAGCTCTATTGCTGGCTAAATATACTTCCCTTGCTGGCTGGTTTGTTTTTGTGTGCCTGCACAAAGAGCTGTTCTAGCATAACTGAGGGAATGACACTGAATGGAAATAAATGGCAAATGCAGGAGCTCCTAAGCTTCTCTCTAAAGCAGTCAGCAGGTGAGAGGCATGTTCATAGAAAGCTGACAAAGCAATCACCTTTCCGTAGGCACAGGAGGGAATTTAAGCTCTTAATTCATAGTTTTGCGTTGTTACAGCCAAGTTCTCTGAAATTAAGCATGGTACACCTACAAGTGGAGGTGTAACTCAGGTCCCAAAAGCACACAGGTGTTCAGAGACTCAGCTGAACAATTCAGAAATAAGTTTTATTGCTGGCAAATTCACCAGGCTGAAGCAAGACCAAAGTGTAGCCCTGCCACTTTTCTGGGCACAGAATCCGGTCTGTTTTTCTCAAACAGCAGTCAGAGCAAATTGTAAAATGTCAAAGATTAGCAGCAATTCAATTCCTCCCAATTATCTTCACCTACTACAAGCTAATCCTTCAGTTTGGGAACAGGTGCAAACAAACAGAATTAGAACCTCCATCCACTACCACTACCCTGGAGTTGCAGCAGGATGGGTGAGCTAAGAGGGTTGTGTCTCTGAAGGGTCTGTCAAGCGCTGTGTCAGTTAAACCCATTTACTGCATGGGGTTTCCATGAAACTGTCTCTCGTGCATCTGCTGATAAGTAGTGTCTGCACCTCAAAGATACCATTGCTTTGCGGTGCTCACTCCCACACAATAAGCACTCCTTCTGTAATCCATGAATGATGATATAAACCAGCAGAATAATCCCTCTGAAACCAGTCATTACCACAGTTAAACTGTTAGCCTATTAACTATCCTCAGGGCTGCCTTTGGGCTCTTAACTGCAGCTAAAACTGATTTTCATAGGGATTATACTTACATAAGGACCAGAGATAGTCTAAATATGGAGTGTTTGTTATCAGGCAGACAAAAAGGTAGCCATTGAAGCTCTTCATAGCATCTTTGGTACCAGCACTAACATCCCTGTATGTGAATGCTCCCCGAGTTCTTGTAAAGGCCATAACTTTGCAAACAAGTATTTTCCACAAAAGACATGCAAAAATTGAAATAAAAACACTTCCTAATTATTTCTTTCTTTGAAATTCCAAACAGATTTAATTAAAATAATCAAAAAAGTTGGTTTCTACTTAGTGGCTTCATTATAAAAAGAACAGCTATAAATAGAAACTGAAACTGTAACAGAACAAGAGAGCATTTAATGAATGTTCTTGCAGTGAACTCCCTTCGGACTACTTTAGCAGAGGCCCAGCCTTCTCTAGTATTTCTTGAAATCCAAGCTCACTGTTTATTCTTTCTGATGAAAAAATTAGACACAGCCAACATTATTGCTTTTATTATAAAATGTAAATAAATTCAAAAATTGTAAATCTCTGTGTACATTTTAATTAAAAATTAAGTGAACTGACAGTCCTTTATGAGCTGGTGTCAGATGTGGCTAATGAAATAGATGAAAAAGATGAGGAAGAAGATGGCAAATATTCATTATTTGTTATTGATGCTTTTTCTTCATATTTTGGTGGTGATTCAGAAGAAAGGTATAGCATTGGTAAAATATCTGAAGGTGAGTTGCTTCCAGAAATTGTATATATGGATTCATAGTCTCTAACAGCAACTGTTCTTTCGTCATCAGCAAGCTGCGCTCTATAAAACACAAAACTATGTATTAGCACAATTAATTTATCTACAGTGAGTGAAATTTGACTTGATTTACATAAACATACATGTATGCACACACTTCCTAAAAATCCCTGAATCAAAGAACTTGCATAAGCATTAGGATTCTTTGGGCTGCATTATGACTCATGAAAATTCTGTAATTTCAGAGGGGAAGAGCAAAACAAGTTCCCTTCTACCTTTCACCAGTCACAGCCTGGCTTATGGGTATTAGGTGCTTCTGGCTGGGCTGTTTCACAATCTTACTAAATCTTCTTCTGATCCTTAGCTTCTAAAGATCTTCCCTTTTGTAATGTATCACATACACAGTTCCCATCCCTCATGTACGACAGTTACTTAGATTTAGAACTGCATAAAAAAAAATCGCAATCCCTAGCCTTTTGATATCTTACATGAAAAGCAATCAAACTTTTTTTAGGCATTCCATGACAGACATAAGGAGTCATATTCTCACTCAAAGCTGGAAAAACAAAAACGACTGGACATAACCAGACTGCAAAGTTCCCAGTGACATTCAAGGTGAGCAGCCAAGTATTTCCTGTCCTCCTCTAGCCATCATAGCTGTATCAAAATTGGTTGAACCCACATTGTTCTGCTACATTGCTCATCTCATCTGGGAGCTGGCCCGCAGCATATTGCTTCAGCTGCTTCCCAAGGAAAGGAAAGAACTCCTTGCTCCTCATGATTCACTCCCAGAGCTGACTCATGCTTTTGTACATACATCTGTATCAATATCAATACTGAGTGAGGACCTCAAAAACAGAGCACAGTCACCTCATCTTCAATGCTGTTACTGGTCTGTGAGGGTTTTCAAAGGAGAGAGAAATACTACAAGACAAATGCTCAGGTGTTATGCAGCAGATTTCAGGAAAAATGCAAGCAATTCTAGGATGAGACCATGACTCAGCTTACTAATAGACCTCTCATCCAGCACAGGCTCCAGCACAGTGCTTGCTGACAACACTGAGCAGTGGATCAACGAGGCAAATCAGTTTTGTCCAGTAGCCACCAACATATAAAGTGTGTGTCCCCTGCTACATTTGGGATCTTCAACCTCAGTTCACTGTTATGAATGAGGCCATTGCTTCTCTTCCATGAAGGTGCACAGGAAGCAGTTGACACAAGTCAAGATGCCCTGACTGCCAGCAACTGCTGAGCCATGAGAGAGAGGGATTGAGTGAAACACCCAGAGGTGGCGTCAGCTCAGCAGGTCTCTGTGAGGACGCTGGGAAGCATGGAAGGGAAACAGCTAGAGCATCCCCATCAGAAAACACCACAGGGTGAGGTCAGGCATTTTGGTTTCTGTATCCAACCAAGCCTGAGGTGTTTTATCCACTCCACTATATACTATCCCAACAAACTGCCTCTTTATATACATATGTTCACAAGACAGAAATCCACACAGGCATTAAACCATATCCACATGATTTTCCAACAGTTCCAGGGATGGTGACTCCATCACTTTCCAGAGCAGCCTGTTCCAATTCTTTACATACCTTCTCACAAAAAAACCCCTTCCTAATAGCTAAGATAAACCTTTCCTGGCACAGCTTGAGGCCAGGAGCTCTTGTCCAGTCACTTGTTATCTAGCAAAAGAGGCCAATACCCATCTTGCCACAACCTCCTTTCCAACAACTGAGAACAATAAGATCAAGCCTCCTTTTCCCCAGAATGAAAAACTCCAGCTGCCTCAGTGACACCTCACTTGACATCTGCTTCAAATCCTTCAGCAGCTGTACTGACCTTTTGTCACACTCCAGAACCTCTGTGTCCTTCTCATTGAGAAGAACCCAAAACTGAACCACAGATTCACAGAACAGCCTGTGTTGGAAGGGATGTTAAAGATCATCTATTTCCAACCTCCCATGCCTTGGACAGGGACATCTTTCACTAGACCAGGTTGCTCAGACACCCATCCAATCTGGCATTAAGCAATTTTCTGGATGGGACATCTACAACTACTCTGGGTGACCTGTTCCAGTGTCTCACCACTCTTACAGTAACTAAATTCTTCCTAATATCTATTGTAAAATTGGTTTCAGTTTGAAATTGATTCCCCTTGTCCTGTCACTACATGCTCTTATAAAAAGTCCCTCTCCATCTTTCTTGTAAGCTCCCTTCAGGTATTGGAAGACTGCAATTAGCTCACCCTGAAGCCTTCTCTTTCATAAGCCCAACAAGCCCAATTCTCCTAGCCTTTCCTCACAGGAGAGGTACTCCAGACCTCTGTCATCTTAGTGGCCTCCTCTGGACTTGCTAAAACATCTTTATATCCTTCCTGTGCAGGGACCCCAGAGCTGATGCAGCACTGCAGTGGGGTCTCAGCAGAGCAGAGCAGAGGGGCAGAATCCCCTCCCTGGCCCTGCTGCCCACGCTGCTCTGGATGCAGCCCAGACACATTTGGCTCTCTGGGCTGGGAGTGCCCATGGCTGGGTCATGTCCAGTCTCCCAACCACCAGCACCCCCAAGCCCCTCTGGGTAGGGCTGCTGTGATCTGTTCACCACAGCCTGGGCTGAAACCAGTGTTGCCCTGACCCAGCTTTAGCACCTTGCACGTGGCCTTGTTAAAACACATGAGATTACCATAGACTCACTTCTCCATCTTGTCAGGGTCCCTCTGGATAGCATCCCATACTTCAAGTCTGACAACTACACCACTCAGCTTGGAGTCATCTGCAAATCCATTCACATATGTCATTAATGAAGATATTTAATAACACTGGTCTGAATATGGACCCCTGAAGGACACCGCTTGTCACTGAAGTCCATTGGGACTCTGAACCATTGACCACTACTCTCTGGATGTGATGTCAAACCAATTCCTCATCCACCAGACAGTCCACCCATTGAATCCATCTCTCTCCAATCAAGAGAGAAGGTTGTTGTGGGGGATTGTGCCAAAGGCTTTACAGTAAAATGACAGATAAATGACATCTGTAACCCTTCCCTTGTCCACTGCTGCACACAGTCACCACATCATAGAAAGCCACTGGGTTGATCAGGCAGGACCTGCCCTTGGTGCAGCTGTGTCATCTGTCCTGAATCACCTCCCTGTCCTACGTGTGCACAGCTCTAGGGGCATCTGTTCCATGATCTTCCCAGGCAGAGGTGAGGCTGACAGGCCAGTATTTCTCAGTATTCCTCTTTTCTAACCTTCATAAAGGTGGGTACAATGTTTTTCCCTTTTTCCAGTCTCCTGGGATTTGCCCTGACTGCCATGACTTTTCAAATATCATGAAGAGTGGCTTGGCAACTACATCTAACTGACATCTACTGACCACATCTAGGGACAACTCCCTCAGGACTCTGGGATGCAGCTCATTGGGTGTCAGACTTATGTACATTCCAGTTCCTCAGACAGCCATGAACCTGGTCTCTTACAGTGGGAGAGACTTTGCTCCCCCAGTCCCCATCCTGCTGTCCATCTACCCCTGAGTGGGAAAAGAGACATTTAAGACAGAGGCAAAAAAGTTGTTAAGTACCTCAGCTTCTCATCCACCGTCACCATTTTTCCAGCATTCTTCATTGGGGGATATCCTTTATTTGATCTTCCATTTCTAGTTAATGTACTGTACCTGTAGAAGCCCTTCCTGTTATTCTTTGTGTCCCTTGCTGGGTTCAGTTCCAGATTTGCCTCGAGCTTTCTCCCTACACAATGGTTCTTCATCTCTAAACTCTTCCTAGGTCACCTGTCCTGGTTTCCACTGCCTGTGCATTTGCTTCTTCCCCTTAATTCTGACCAGCAAGTTCCTACTCAGCCATGCCGGTCTCTTGCCCTCCTTGTCCGATTTCTTGCTCCTGGGGATTGCCAGCTCTTGTGCTCTATGGAAGAGTTCCTTAAAGATCTGCCAGCTCTCTTCTACTCCCTTGTTCCTGAGACAGACTGACTAGATTCCCAGAGGACTGAAATTCTGCTTTCCTAAAGTTCAAGAGCCAGACTTCTACTCCTTACCCAACCCCTATCCCTCAGCCCTGCACACTTCACAAATGCACAACCCCTGCAGCCCAGGCTGCCTCCAGTCTTGGTGTCCCGGTTAGCTCACCTGCACTGGTGACCAACAGATCCTATAAAACATTCCCTCAGCAGGGCTGTCTGTCACCTGGGTCAGGATATTATCCTCCACACACTCCAGGAGTCTCCTGGATTGCCTACAGCCCTCCAAGCTACTTTCCCAACAGCTGCTGGGGTGGTTGAGGTGCCCCTGCAGGACAAGATCCTGTGGGCTCAATGCCTCCTGTGGCTGGAGCAGGAAGGTCTGGTCAATGGGCTCCCCCTGGTCAGGCAGCTGTAGCAGACCCCAGCCACAGGGTTCCCTTTGCTGCCTCAGTCTCTACTCCTACCCACAGGCTTTCCACCTAAACTAAGACACACCTGCTCGTGGTATTCTGCAGGGACTGCTCTTCACATTCAACCCACCTCTTGCTGTAAAAAGCAATCCCTCACCCCCTGTCTCTTCTGAACAGCCTGAAGCCACTATAAGTCACATTCCAGAAAAAGGATTCATTCCCACAAAGGAATAGCAACAAGGTCATAGGTCTTCCAGCAGCACAGTGGCTTCCAACTGTTCCAGTTTGTGCCCATGCTGTGTGCATTGGTGTAAAGGCACCTTAGCTGAGATGCTGGCCATGTTGCCTTCCTAGAGGAACATCCCTTAGTTCTTTGAGATAGCTCTCCAATGTTTCCTTCCTGGCTTCTCTCACCTTAGAAGCTCTTGGCTCAACTGCTAAGACTGCAAGTGTGTTCCAGTGTGGCCAGAACACTCCAAATTCAGAAGCAGAGGACCCTTGCAAGCATCTTGTCCTTCTAATCTTTGCCTCCCATCCCACAGTTTTCCAGGAACGAGCCACTTACTGTCCCACTCCCCTTGAACATTTAGGTGCCCTGGTCCCACTGGTCGCGCTATTGTTGACAGAAGCCTGGATGCAGCTGACTGCCTTGGCCACCTGGGCACACTGATGGCTCATGTTCAGGCGCTGTTGGCCACCATTCCGAGGTCCTTTCCTGCCAGACAACTTTCCAGACACTCATCAACAATGGCAGTGATGGTGCTTCCAACTGTTACCAAACAGGGTATATTTCTGTCTACACAGAAGATGTAGAAGGGGAACATGTTGGAAAATTCTGTTAACTTTAGCGTAGTAAGTATATTCATGGTTAATGCTTATTTTGTCCCATACAGTGCTTAGTACAAATACCTGAGACAACGTGACCTTGAGTTAATTCCCTAATCTGTGACTAATAAGTCTTTTTCCAGTTAATGCTTCCTTGGTAAGAGAAATACATTATGACTTGATGACTGATTTGAGATTCTCTCAAGGAGACATCAGAAGATCTGGAACCATATCCAAACAAGTCCATGGAAATAATTAGCATATATGCATGTATTCATGAATGTGATGAATATATGTGATAGTTTCAGGAATATAAACAGATCTGTTAGGTTACTGCGCATACATGCTTTGTGGAGAATTCCATGCCTCCAGCACTGTTAATAAACTGATGTTGGCTTTGTAACCTAACAAATTGGTTGGAGAGTTTATTTCCCAGTTTTCAGTGACACAATGATGCATGCAGAGTCCAGTGAATAAAGGTCATTAAATGATAGCCCCACATAGCTTATTGACTCACAGCTCAAACCCAGGCTGATGTAGGACTATTCTAAAGATATTATATCAAGTCATTTCTGAACCATTAAGGGCCTGAAAGTAAGTTAGCAACTCTAGACATGTTACACCTAGCTCTTCTGGCCAGACCTAGCTCTGCCTTCTAGTATGTGGCCCTTGCAGTGACCTTTTTTACCATCAAGTTACCACCCACAGGGGATAAATAACCCCACTACTTGTCACGGCACAGACAAATCTTTGGTAAGCTGGCAGCTCCTGACCCCTGAGCTTGGTGGTGTCAATATCAGGCAATTCTGTCATAATTCATGTATGTAAGGTACAAGATCTTGAAATGAAACTGGCTTTGCAGCCTCCCTAATCAGCATGCTGGAGCCTTCTGTGATATCAAGGAATCTTTTAACCTTGACACATGGCCACAGCAGGAACAAGGCAGACCAGCACAGCAGGTCTCACTTCCTCAAGGCAGAGGTAAGGGACATGGGAGAAATGAATACATTGGCAGATAAAGTAACATTCCAGGGTCTGTGGGTAGGTGTCATATAATACTTGCTGCTCTGTTTCTACAGAGGCTCCTAAAATCTGGCAATATGGTTATCATTTCACTACCACACTGCTGTCAGTGCCACCTTCTCTTGGACAATCTCTGGAAGAAATTTATTAAGGACCATTGATTTAAGAACCTCAGAAGTTATGTCCAGTCATAATAATAACAATTTAATCCTCATAAAGAACATTCCGCAGTTTGTAGTTCCCCTAGTATACTACAACATTCTAATGCCAATTCAAGTAAAGTATCTGAAGTAAGTTGAGTTATTAATGAGAAAACTTTGTCATGGCAAGTAGCTCATTCACAGTGATTATATAATAACATGGTCTTGGACATCTAAAGAAATATCTCAGATTTCTAAAGTGAGAGATGAACACAGTCTTACCCATCGCTGAAGATAGAGTGGTATGGCGGAGGATTTTCACTTGTAGGTAAAACACTTGACAAAAGACAATGTGTCACAGCTGGTGACATAGGGTCAGCAAAATATGGAGGTGGTGGGGGTGGGAATAACATCACAGCATCACCTAGAGGAAAGTACACCAATTAGAAAAGAACTACCTCTGAAGAACTGAGCGCCTCTGGTTATACTAACAGCAGCCTATAATTTTTACTTGCCTAGCTTTTAAGATAAATGATCCCACATACAGAATTGATACATTCTGGGCTGTTGGAGCAGGTTGGAGCTACATTCAAAACCTAAATAATCCCAAAATAAAGATGCAGCATATTTATAAATGAAGGATTTCATTTAGACAATACAGCTGACAAGGAGGAGTATTTATCTAGCTAAGAGACACAAATATGGTTGGCTGTCTACAAGAATCAGAAGTGTAAAGCACACAGTTACTGTTGGAACATTTTAAGGATAGGAGAGTATTTAGTTTCCCTCCCAAATGTAAACCAGGTCATTCTGAGTTTCTCCATAAGTACTGCAGTGCTATAATGGGAGTCATTAATGGCTCTGAGGACTGATTTTGTGTGCCGTGACAGTTTCCCTACTGAGTTACTTGTAGCTTAAGGCACACTAATCGTGTCTACTGATACACAGTTCACTACGGCAATATATTGTACAGCAAAAGAATCTACCAATTACCACTCTATAACTGAAGAGTTTAAAACTTGTAATTTTATCTCTGACTGGTTGAGGATGTGGCCACAATTTAAAAAATACAGTACATTGGTTACAAATCAGAATCTTCTGTTTAAGGACTCAAGGCTAAAATAAATCTTAAATATAGTCATACAAGTCTGTGATCTGCATCAATTACAGTGTTTGAGAACAGAACCGGGGTTAGACTCATTTGTCTCAGGTTCTGTTGCTTTACACAGTCAGACCTTTCTGTCTGTGCCAAAGAGAGATTCTGCCTTTTTGGTAAAGGAAACTGAACTGACCATACAGAAAGCATATGAGACAAAGTAATATTATCCTATTTCGGCTGTCTTGACATGGCAGAACTGACATGCTTAGAGCTCAAATAAGTGATATCCAGATGTAAATTATCAGTGGAAAAAACCCCCACTAATTCCCAGTGTAAAGTTCCAACATTTTTTACTCACCTACTGTAACCTGAAAAGATTCAGGGCTCTGAGGATGTTCTTCACTTTCACAGGATTCTTGGTTGAGATTTAAGTTTTGCTTCTTTTTAACATGAGCTATCACGAAGAAACACAACCCAGTGAGCACAATCAAAGGTCCCATGATTTGAAGTGACAGGAATCCACAGCCCTGGAGGTCCATGTCAGAAGTGCCAGTGTGGTTGAGCTGTATCGTATGCCAGCCAGGGCTGCAACCAGGAACCCAAATGCCCAGGATGCTAATTAACATTCCACTAGTTAAAAACAGGAATCCAAATATGAGAAACTGGGCAAACTGGCAGTTCCCACGACAAAACACAAGGCTGTACACCTGCTCATTTTGCAATTGTCTTTGTCTTATATACATCCTGGCCCTTGATCGTGCCAGTAAAACACAAACCAGTCCAGTTACAGCCAACACTGGCCCAGCAGCCTTAAGGACCTCGTTACAGTCACTGAAGCTTCCAGATGGACATGACTGGAGAATAAAGACTGAAAGAAGGAATCCAGCACACAGCAACACAGCTCCAAAAACAAAAAGGAAAAAAATAAGTTTCCCATGTTGTCCATTACTTCCTTCACCTCCTGGTGCAGGAACAGCCACTGGATACATTACAACAGAATCTCCTCAAGATGGGTTGTTAGAATTAAATGGCAGCAAATTACCACCTGTGAACATGAAAATACACAAACTAAAAGAAGAAAAAAACCCATCAAGAATAGCTACATTAAATTTCTTACTTTCATATTTGTTACTCAGCCTTTATTGTATATGCTCCTGTATTTTCTGTTTTGCAGTATCTCCACTATGGATTACAGGGCTTGCTCAAGTTTGCTGATGTTAAATGCTTATGAAAAGACAGAACTTGCTTTACAGTTCAACTTAGACCAACTGTAATTGCTGTTGCACAGCTAAATTAATTGTTTCTTTAGAGAAATAGTCTTACTATTAAAAGGACACTATTTTGAAAGTTTGAATATTTGGAATGAGGACAGATTAGCTTTCCCTTTCAAAAGAGAAAGCTATGGGAAATTTCTGTGCTGAACCACAGGAAGTGACAGCTTGTGAGAGATAGTACTTTAATGCAAATGAGCAGTGACTAGTGGACTTCTTAACCAGGTAAATTTTCTATTACATGCCTTCTCAAAGCATACAAATCTTGCTTCTCTTTCCACAGGTAGTAAAGACCTTTCTGTTACTTTAAATGAGCTTCCTGTCCTAGGCTGCTGCAAAAGCAAGTACTGAGAAGATTTTTGATTCCGTTCTGAAATGACAAAGACAGAAAATAAAAAAAAACAAAAAGAAGAAAATTAAAAAACCCAACATTCTAAAGGCCAGTTCAAGTCTCACTGATTTCCTAGTTAAAGTTGGTAAGCATAGTGCTCCTTTCAACTCGCCCTCCTTCTGAATACTTTGTCTTTGCTCAAAAGATCTTTAAAAAGGAATTAATGAAGGTGGCTCCCAGAAGGATTCTGAGCCCACAAGACTCTAGATTCAGAAGTGAAAAAGAAGAAAACAGAAAACAGTTTTGAGGCCAATAACAGTCCAAATGGTAGTATGGATAACAAATCAGGTGGATGTGCATTTAGTGGGGCATGGGAAGCCTAACTGAAAGCCAGGACACTGCTCCAGTCAGTGAGCTCTAGTACAAAAAAAAAAAAAAATAAACTGTGCTGTTACCTACAAGGAAGCTTCTGCTACTCTGACACTCTGGCCCACAGAACCAGACGGATACCAGCCACCAGATGGTGACTAGCAACCATGGAGATCTTGGCTAACATCCATCAAAAGCCAACCTGAAATGCAGGGGAAGTTCAGACTATGGAAAATAACAAGTCTCATGGATAGATCACGAGAAAGGTGTTTCCTACCAAGTGTAGGAAAGTACTGGAAGTGTAGGAAGTACTGAAGCATGCTTGTGCTGCAGTGTTTTGACTCTGCCCTCTTGCCCTCATGAGCAGCTTCCCAACACAGACGATTTAACCTGTGTCTTGGATATATAAGACCAATATATAGGGACTGGCGGAGTTAGTCATGGATGGAAGCAGAGAATCAGCTTAGTACTGCTGCTTGTTAGTTAACCTTCAGCCTTTTCTCTACCAGCTTCTACTGTCCTGCTAGTAATTCAGATGACTGGAAGATAAAAGATCAAATTAGATTGGATCCTCTTTACATATGCCTCTGGTACACTTATTCCACAAGAAAACAAGGTATATGTGATTTCTGGAAGCAAATTGTTGAACATGTGTCAGCTACAAGTAAGACAAGGTTTGTGTCACTCCCCAGTAACTGCAGTGCCCCACTGGGACAAAAATAAAACACAACCATAGAACCCACTAGTGACTCAAACAATTATTAAACACATATTTATCTGCAATGCAAGGTATTGAGTCACTACTCAGCCATTTTTACGAGTAGAACCCAATTAAAGAATGGGCTGAACAGATCCACAAATGATGAAGTTATTACACGTTTAACTGCTGAACATCAAACCAGGCCCCCCAAAAGCACAGGAGAAAGCAGGGTGCATCATACGGTAAAAGGCACAATAATCACAAGATCTGAGCAGCATGAAACACAGCAAGAAGGCCACTGCAGGAAGCAACCAAGTCTCTTAGCTGGCCATCTTGAACACCAAAACTGAGGGAACGCCCCTTAATGCATTCCATTACTGTGCAAGGTAGTTACCTTGCAAACTGTGACTGCTAAGTGGTTCTTCAGTGTTTTGAATTCAGTTTACTGAGAACCCTTTACTAAGATTGGTTTGAAAAACTGCTAACTACTGGTCCCTTGGGAGAAGAGTCAGATTTACTCTGGGAGAAAAAAAAGCTATAGAGAGCACAAAAGATAGGACAGCATGTCACACACAAAAAAATTTAAAAAAATTTAAAAAAATGAATGTATCCTGATCGATTTCAAACTGAACACCTTTAGCTCAGCACACTTTCAATGCTGCATGAGCTGAAGTCAGTCTGAAGGCTCTACTGGGCAGAAAAAAATGCACTGAGATGGTCACTTCTTTGATATCAGTGGACTTTGCTAAATTAATAAAATTATTTCTCATAACTGCATATGCCCTATTCTCATAAATTATTTGAGCTGGCTCAGGTGTCCTGACTGTCCTAGCTATCACCTTATGACACTGACTTACCAAATAAGCAAAGCTGAGTAAAACACCTCTGAAACACACAAACACATAAATAAATACATATAAATAAATAAATCCCCCACCAACACTCTAGAGAGAACTCTTGCAGGATTCTTTTTTGCAGAACTCTGAACTCCTTCTTTCCCTCTAGAAAAGAAAACATGGACTTAAATACACGCAAATTAGAACAAAGTAAAATAATGTGAAGGCAAAAAAAATATAAATTCAAATATATATCCATTACAAAAAAAGGTCTGGAGATGTGTCCTACTTACTCCAACACAGTGTCTGCTTCTTTTCTACCAATCTTGTTGTTATGAGATTAAGCTAAAACACACATTAGAAATTAAGCATGTACATATTTTCTTCATTCTTTCAGGCCACAAAAGAAGGAACACTCAGAACAGTCTGTTGTGCTTTGAAGACAAAAGCCATAGATTTTATGCTGGAAAATCCAAGGGAATTTCCATTTATATTACCATTAAATTTTACCAGAAAACCAAAAGCAAGATCAAATTTATTTCTTGTGTTTCAAGAAAAAGTATTTTAACAAAGAGGAAAGTCTTTTATTGTCTATGTGCTTGAAATACTTCCACCAGATCTCATATCTCCATAGGCATATTGATGTAAAGGAATTCTCCCTTCATATTAAACTCAAGTCTGAAAACAGACATGGAAATAACAGGTCAGAAACCATTAAAACATAATCCAGTAGAGTAGAGGTTGTTAAGTATGTTGGGAAGAGCAAACTAGAAACACAGCTTATAAAGGAAGTCTGGTTATAAGCTCAACCTAAATGATATAGAGCTTTACCTTTTTGTAAATCAGGCCTATGCCAGGTACATAGAACCAGAAATAGCTTTGCAATTTCTTGTAATTTTTCTGTGTAACACTTGTATTACAACTTTCATATTATGGACAACTCCAAGAATTTAAAAAAAAAAATCCTACAATTCTTCTTGAGCCTTCAGAGTTCACATTTTCCAAGATTCCCACTGCAAACACCAGGGTTATGAATTTACTCACCCTTACTCATAAGAAATTTGATAGCTTCGTGCAGACATCATGAATTCAGGAACAGAATTAGAAGAAAAGTATTGGAAGAATTAAAACATTGCCTCCCTCTGTTTTATCCTTCCCAAGGTAGGTCCCATTCCCCTTCTTTTTGCTTACGAAAGTACACAAATCATTTAATGCAGAAGTTTCAGGTCTAGTCTGTGTTATTTAAAAACTATAATACTCTGTCAGTTGTAGTCCACAATGGAAATCCTGTTAGAATTCATAAGCCATCCTTTACAAGGACTTCAATTTTTCCATTTTTTTCACCTGTGTTTTGAACTACTACCAGGAAGTTGCCACTACCATTGTGCAATTATTTTTGTGATACTTTTTTCCCCCGGGTTTCAAATAAAATCATGACTTATTGGTCAAGCTACTTGCAAGGAAAAATGCTCTCAACTTCATTCAGTTTAATTTCCATATCAAAACATGAATTTTTGATACCCCTGAATTTTCTGCTTTGCTCGTATCTGCTTCTGTACCCACACCATTTTCTGTTCTTCATTAAATCCCAGCTTCCCCCTGTACTGGACTCTTAACCTGGCATTCAGAGACACTCATACATGAGTACAGCTGGTTGAACTAAACTGTAATGCGCAACCTTCTTTCCAACACTCCTCCCCCCCATGGTGTTTTTAACTTATTTGAAGAGCTAGTGGGAAATGTCAACAGGATGTACTTTCAATTTTCTACTTTTAAGAAACAAAACTATAAGCAGTAACAAGTTCTGAGATGCTAAATACATGCAATTTATGCGCATATGTAGTTGCTAATTAGTACCTGACAGTGCTCTTATCTCACAGAACATAAGACTCAGATATTGTAAAAGACTTCAAGATTTAGACAAGCGTATAAAGATTCCTAAGCTGGGAGTGGATGCCACAAGAACTCTGCCCATATGGGTCAACAAAATTATTGTTTCAGCCTACAGTATAGGAAAAGTAATGCTGTGGTGTTATTTATGATCATTGCAGGTGGGCAGAAGCTACTTGGAGAAGAATTGGAAAGCAGCTGCAGTAGGAAATTCCACAAAGTGGGATGAATCCTGCCACCCTCCAGAGATACGTGCACCAGAGATCCTTCTCACTACAAATCAGCAGTCAGGGTTTCCGACGGTGCCACAGAACTGCATTCTGCAAAGCTGCCAATTCCAGTCCCTGCAGGCTACAAGAACAAAGCAGCTGCAGCAAAAGATGGCCCACAAATGTTCCTCACTCACTTAACCAGGAAGAATACTGACACAACAGTTGGACAGGAAGACCCCAACAGTCTGTTTGAAAAGTGAGGAGCTTGCAAAGCAAAGCTTAGTAACCCACTGACTGGATGCCATTCAGGCAACTAGGACAGCACCTAGATGCAAAAATGAGCTCTGAAGGGTCCCATGCTTGTTGGTGGGATGCTTTTTACGTGAGACACTAGTGGCACACAAGAGCTGTGGCAAAGAATATTCTGAAGAACGGCAGGGAGACTAGGGAGAAAGCAGACACATACAGTTAACACCAGAGCTGATGTTTTTCAAACAGCTAACACATGACAGACCAGCTTCTGGAAATTCACAGTAAGGTCTGTTCTAGGGTGCTGACATATCTCAAAGCAGCAAAAGGCACAAGACAAAAAGACTTACAGTTCTTTGACCACAGGACAGGCCATAGTAACCATCAGGGAAACGTAAGGCTGCAAAAGCTACCTAAAGCCATCCTGTCCCAGTTTCCTGAGGCTGGCCTGGGGCATTAAGCCAGACAATTTAATGGACAAGCAATTAAGCTCTACTCCGTCTAGGAAAAGCAGCATTCCATAGCACACTCCTCCTCATGCACCAGTCCATCAGGCATAGTCTATTCTAAGTCACTTAGTTTTCTAAGTCACAGTAAGGACTTCAGGAAGATGGACCATGCCCCAAAAGCTGCCATGCATCACACCGGTGCAAGGAGCAACGCAGGGCAACCTCTCCACCACCTCTCCGTGACGGAGCAGCACCTGAACCTCCTCACCTGTGCCGTCCCAGCTGTACACCAGCATCAGCCACGAGAGCACTGCATGCCAGAATAACTGCAGAAGCCCCTTCAGAGATATTCCATCCTCCCTCAGGGCTGGCGTAGAGGTCGCAGTGTGGAAGCGGTGTGGAGAGCGGTGGGCTCTCCAGGGAGAAGACAGGCCACTTACACCCCGGATAATTCTCACACACACTGGATAAGGGCGAAAACACGGGAATGGCGGCGGCTGAGGGGAGAGGCGGCGCGGCCCCGCCCGCCGGCGGCGGCCCCTAGCGGGGGCAGCTGCAGGACGAGCCACCCGCCGCGCCGCCCCTCACCCCCGCGGGCCCGGCCGGGGCCGCCCGCTCGCTCTCTGCCTCCCAGCCGCCCGTCACGGCTGCACAGCCGCAAGGCCCCGCGGCCGCCCGGTCGGAAAGGGGCTCCAGGCACCCGCCCCTTACCTGGCGGCGCGAAGGACACAGCGGCGGGGCAGGCGCCGCTATTTAAGCACCTGCGGCCGGCGGCGCGGCACAGGGCCGGGCCAGGCCCAGCCGAGCAGCCCCGGGGGAGCGCGGGCGCGGCGGCACCGCCCCGCCTGTGGCCAGCGCCCCGCCCGGCCGAGGCCCCAGCCGGGCCGGCCCGCAGCTCCCGGCGGCACCGGGGCGGGGCGGGTGCCTCGCTGCCGTGCCGGGAGAGAGGAGAGATCCTGGCCGATGCGCAGGGTGTCGGTGCAGCCCGCAGGGCACGGCAACTCTGGAGTCGGGGGTACGTGGCCGAAGTCAAGTGTGCCCCTGAAATACGAGCGGTTTCGAGGTGAGGCAGGTGAGCAGTCCCTCTCAGGATGCTAGTGCCACCTCTCCCATTTCACAGAATCACAGAATATTCTGAGTTAAAAGGAACCCGTAAGGAAAATTGGGTGCACCTCTCCAGTGAATGGCCCATACACGCATTGAACCCACAGCCTTGGGCTCTATTTCAGGAGCCCTTTGTGTTGTCGTCTCTTAACAACACTTGCCTTACTCCACACGCTTGGGAACTTGTTAGTCAACCTAAAGACAGGCTGAGCCTAGATGTGACAGATCTCCCTCAGTGGTGAGCCACTTTAGCTGGTGGAAATGGAAGAAGATGGTTTCTTGCCAGATACAGGCAGTGGAAGGACAAAGAAGCTGGCTTTGGTAAAGAAGCTGAGACGAGGGTTGTGAGGTGCAAGGAGCAGCTGTGTGAGTAGACAAGGAGCCAGGGAAGAAAGATCAAGTTGAGCCATTTTTAAGTGCTGTAGCAGTGGCAGGACCAGGACAATGTGACTGCAGTTTGCCCAGCTGGTTAGCAGCAGCCTGGTAGCCAGTGAAGTGGGGGTGAATCTGTTTGGGTTTATGTGAATCAAGAGAAGGAAGAGCCAGAATAGGGTTGGAGTGATGCTGGGAAAATAGATGGCAAGAGGAAAAGAGAGTGAGTAGTCTTGCTTGACAGAGAGATGCTTTGGTTAGACAGTACAGTTGGGTGAAAATTCTATGTTGCTTCTCATAGGCAATCTGCATTTGGGTAAAGAGCAAGGGAAATTTGGAACTGATTGAATAGCCAATGAGTGTATGAAAATATACGTTGGGTGTAGGAAGGAGCTTGTAATGGAGTAGCAGGCTTCAAGGTTTCCAGAACTGTAGACCCTTTGGTTTCTCAACTGTTTTGTCCTGGCTCAGCTACCATTGACTGGAAGGGCTTCAGTTGTATAACACTCACAATATTACTGTGAAGGGTCTCATGGTAAGGAGACTGGGAAGTAACAATTCCTATATTCTATGAAAAGGGAAATATTCCAGTGAAGAATTTGGAAAAAAAAATCTGAAGACAGCAAAAGAAAATGAGCTGCGCTTGTTTAAAAACACAAGCTGAAAATTAATTCTTGCCAATAGAATCAGACTATTTTATGAAGTCTGACAACAGTGACACAAGGAAATTTAGTTATGTTTATATGTCAGTTTTCTAATACCTGATTCTGGTTCTATTGTTTTTTCAACATAGAGTTTAAAGAATTAATAAAAACACTTATATAGTGCACATTTTTTATGAAGTGTTTTGTTAGACTAAGCTTTCTTCGGTTCTCTGATACTAGTAAATTATTGGCCCACTGCTGTGATATATGTTCTCTTTTCCTGTTACATAGATAGTTTTTTATTTTATGTAAATACCTCTTGTACCAAACCTAACATGTCAAGAATTTCACTTAAAAAAAAAAAGTCAGTCATAACAGTTAACAAGCTTGTATCTACCTAAAAATTATTTCTGTCTACAAAGCCTGTCATCAACTTTTCCCCTCCATCCACCACTTGGGTTTCTTGTAGTCTTGGGCTTAAGGACTTGACCTCCATAATGAAAGAAGGGATTAAAAGATTGAAAGATTCTTCAGTTTTTGAGATTCTGACTCAGCTGGTTTGAGTTTTCAATTCGTTAAGTGGCTGTTGATTCCTGCCATGGGACTGCAGTCATAAAACTGTAATCTTGAGCCATATACTGTGATTTAAGATAAGAATTATTTTTTAACTGTATTTTTTTTAACTTTTAAAATAGTACCTGTTGAACTACAACTAATGTATATTTTAAGTGCACACCGTAAGTGGTAGTATTTGGCAAAAACGGAGCCATACTGGTTTTTACTATACAGGAAAGTACTGAGAGAGTTTTTTATGTTTAGACTGGATATAGTTGTATGACAGAAGTTTCTGGATGTTAGTGCTAGTAGAGAAAATAAAGTATTTTTGACTGTCATGGAAAACAATGCTAGAGCTATGAAAAAATGCAGTGGATTCACAGCTGGAGTATGACAGGGAACCCAGAGCTATCAGAAAGTCACTGCTTTTGAAATCGTTTCTTGGTTTACAGTCAATAATACTTATGAAGACACTGACAAAATTACCATTTGAGATGATGAGCAGAGAAATGTAATTGCTTATGATTTATTGATCGGGAATTAGGCTATTTTGATGGAAGCCACTACTTATAGCAATAATCTGATGAAATATAAATGAAAGTTACTAGCTTTGCATTCATCTTATTTTTTTTTTTTTAAATTAAGCAAACTTGTTTATAAATGCCAAAGACAGTTGGTTTGAATTGTTTGCCTAAAGATGATGAACTCTAGAAACAGGGGCACAAATGTAAGACTAAATGCTGGTCACTTCTAGATTAGTATTCCACTGTGTGGAAGAGATGTTGGTATGTTGTGTGCAATATAAGATGGGTCAATAAAACCACAGCTGTTATAATTAGACATGTGGCATACTGGATGTGCTGAGACTGTGCTTCAGCTCAAAACATTAAGTACAATCTGCAGAATATTTTCAGAAGCTTGAAAACCCACTGAGAGATTCCAGATTTTTCTAAACTGTCCTAATGAAAATGTAGCCATCATAGACATACCTAGTATTTATAATTCACAGCTTAAATCAAGGCTGATGCTACTTGCTTTGTTTCAATGACAGCTGACCCTGTGTTGGTGTACTTTGAAGGAGGAGCTGCTAAGGAGTGCATGGAGGAAATGCATGGTAAATCTAACTTTTTAATCGCTACTTGCTTGCTGTGATGGTATCTAAATGAGATAATGATGCAGAAGTCAAGAGTCCCACAGCTCTCCAGTTCCCACCAAGTTGTGTGCAGGCAGTTCACATTAAGAAGTTGATGTGCACAGAAAGTGCAAAGCTCAACTGAATAACGAACTGTGTGTTTTGGTTTATTTAGGTTCTGGTAGACTCAAAGTAGCTATACTTAGAAATACAAATCTATAAAATGTTTATTTTATTAAAATTGTCAATTTATAGGCATAGAAATGACAAAACCATTGCTGCCAACATTCGTTAAGCTTTGGAACCAAACTTAATTAATCCTGAAATAGTTATTCTGTGTAGTCCAGCAGATAGCTCCAAAAGAACCACAGGAAAGAGTATGTTGCTGCCTCTACTATAAGGGAGGATAAATGGGGGACTGACACCCTCCCCACAAAACAGCCGCTACCTGTGTCTTTGTACTCTCATGTAGTGCATCCTAGTGAGCTGTGATGATGCCTTCTCAGGAGCAACAGAGAAAGACACAAGAAGACCAAGCTGACTGCTCTCTTCAGAGCCTGGTCATGCCAGGAGTGTCCATGACTTGGCTGACGGTCACCATCTCCTCCTAATAAGTCATCTTTCCCAACCTCTTTGCTCCACACATCTAAAAGTGTGTGAATGAAACGGACTTGTTCAGTATTTTTCTTAGTAAATCACAGAACCACAGAACCAGAATGGTTTGGGTTGGAAGGAACCTTTAAAGTTCATCTATCCTAGCCTCCCTATAATGAGCAGGGTCATCTCCAACTAGATCAGGTTGCTCAGAGCCCTGTCACATCTGACTGTGAATGGTTCCATGTATGGGGCAGCTACCACTGCTCTGGACAACCTGTTCCAGTGCTGTATCACCATCACCAATAAATAGCTCTTCCTTAAACCTACTCTACATCTACCCATAGTTCACTTTAAAACCATTACCCTTCATCCTATTGCAACAGGCCCTGCTGAAAGGTCTATACCCATTTGTCTTATAAGCCCCCTGTAAGTATTGAAAGGAAGTGAGAGAGAAGAGATTAAAAATTAATGAAATTCAGAGAGGTTATGCATTAACCCTCATAAAAATCAAATAGCTGTGTTTTTTCCAGGAGAGGTAGATCCATATCTCAAATCTGTATCTTAATGTGTTGGGTTTGTTCATTGTGCTTGCATTTGTTTTTTAAGAGAAAGGCATGACAGCTATTTCAGTTGGTGGCACTGGAAACAGATAAGCTTTATCACTGTGCTGTGATGACACTGGGATGAGGAAGTGAGCCTAAGGCAATGTGCTGCACCCCTCAGAACAGGGGTCTGGGGCAGACAGTCTTCCTGGGCTGAAGGCTATGCTGCTTCTCACAATCAGGAATTGAATCCTGCAGAAGGGCAGCTCAGTCATGCGGAGGAGGAAAGGAAAGAGGAATGCAAAAGTCTTCTATTACTTCTCATCCAGTGCGTGTAGAGATGCAGTCTGAACTTGAGGAACTACTTCCATGTGTTAGAAGGGCATTTTTGAAATCTTAAAACACGTGTAATTTTCTGTTCAAGGTTTTATCATAGGTGCCCTTATTTAAAAGGACTACAAGACCAGTAGGTTGGATATACACTTAACCAGGAAAAAAATGCCCATTGATTGTGTGCATATGTGTGATATTGACTGAGTTCCCTTAGCTTTTAAATGTACATGAGTAAGCATCACAAGTTCAGGAGAAAGTACAAGAAAGACATTGAGGTGCTGGAGCATGTCGAAAGAAGGACAAAAAGGCTGATTAAGGGGTCTGGAGCAGAACTCCTGTGAGGAGCAGCTGAGCAAGCTGGTGTTGTTTAGTCTGGGGAGAAGGAGACCTTATCACTCTCTACAGCTGCCTGAAAGGAGTGAGGAGGTGGTGGTTGATGTCTTCTCCCGGGTGATAAGCAATAGGACAAGAGGAAAAAGTCTTGACTTGTTACAGGGGAA